CCTGGGTTCTCTCCCCGGCTCTGGGAGGGGAGTGGGGTCTGGTGGTTAGAGCCAGGGGCCAGGACGCCTGGGTTCTTTTCCAGGCCTCGGACCTGCGGGTGGACTTGACCAATGAGCCGAAGACCAAGCCGGAAGTGGGGCAGCTGCAGTTCGGGAAGCATTTCACCGACCACATGCTGACGGTGGAGTGGGACCGGGAGCGGGGCTGGGGCCAGCCCCACATCAAACCTTTCCAGAGCCTGAGCCTGCACCCGGCCTCCTCCGCCCTGCACTACGCTGTGGCGGTGAGTTGCGGGGGGGCTATTCCCGGCCCCTGCGATCCCAGGGGGGCGGCGTCGCAGCCTGGGCAAGGGGGCCCTGGATAACCAGACCCCACCCCAGAGCCAGCCGCATGCCAGCCCGAGCGAGGGGTGCCCAGATACCTCCCCCACTCCAGAGCCAGCCGCATCCCAGCCCGGGCGAGGGGTGCCCAGATACCTCCCCCACCCCAGAGCCAGCCGCATCCCAGCCCGGGCGAGAGGTGCCCAGATACCTCCCCACCCCAGAGCCAGCCGCATCCCAGCCCGGGCGAGGGGTGCCCAGATACCTCCCCACCCCAGAGCCAGCCGCACCTCTGTGCCAGGCGAGGGGGCCCCAGATCCTCCCCCCATAGGGGCCGCGTCCCAACCCCATGCTGATGGTGCCGGTTCTCCCCAGCTCTTCGAGGGGATGAAGGCTTTCCGGGGCCCGGATCAGCGTGTCCGTCTCTTCCGCCCCCTGATGAACATGGAGCGTATGTCCCGCTCGGCCGCCCGGGCCAGCCTGCCGGTGAGTGACGCCCCAGGCCTCCTGCATGGGGCCCTGGGGCCCCCGGCCATTAGTTATACCCTCCCCCTGCTGGGGGAACTTCAGCGGGGGCTGGGAGCCAGGACGCCTGGGTTCTCTCCTGGCCCCGGGGGCTTCCCTGTGTCTCCAGCGCTGCTCCCTCTCCTCCAGCCCTTCGACCAGCTGCAGCTCCTGGAGTGCATCCGCCAGCTCGTGGCCCTCGACCAGGACTGGGTGCCACACTCGGACAGCGCCAGCCTCTACATCCGGCCAACCTTCATCGGCACCGAGGTGGGGAGCCCAGCCCCTGGGGTGCCCTGACGTTCCCCTCCCTCCGCGGGACTGGCTGGGGGGGCCACATCCCACCTGCGTCCAACCGTGCGACACCCACACCCCCGGATCTGTCTCCCGCCCGCGTCCCTCCCGCGCCCCC